GAGAGAGAGAGAGAGAATTTCTTGGAATGGAATTACTAGAGACACTAGCAGGACATTACGTTATTTCTTGCCATTATCCATGCCACAATGCAGATTTACCTCGCATGCATCGCGCCACGCCGGCGGCAATATCAATTATCAATTAATCACCAACACTTTTATCACGCGCTCGTTTCAATTATGCTACACTCAGCCTTTAACTTCACAACGCTAATCTCCTCTCTGCGTTCCCTCGTAGATTTTACGCAACGCAAGATATATGCAACGTAAGATACACGCCTGCCTCTAACCGGGGGAAGCAACAGGTGAATAATAATACTTACATAGAAGCGTCCTTTATCCTCTGCAACGCGAGAAGGGCCGCGGAAGGGGAGATGAAGACCGGGTCGGTTGGCTCCATCATGCAGACCGACACGTCCCTCTCCCGATCTCTTTCCCTTTGCCTGTCCCTATCGCGATCACGTTCCCTTTCCCGATCCCGCAGTTCCCTGATTGCGGGCTCTCGCTCCTGTTGACATTCCCTCTCGTTCTCGCTACTTCTTTCCCGCACCCTCTCGCGCTCCCGATTCCTCTCTCGGCTCCGATCACGATCGTGATCTCTGTCCCATGCTGTTTCGCCCAACGGTGGCAAGGATGGAGATGCTGCAAAAAAATATAATTCCTCATCAATATTCCCGCTTGCCCGCTGGCCACTAGAATAATAATAAATTTTATTGCGTACGCATAAAAATGATTTATGAGATGCCAGTAAAAAATGTGCAAAATGTGAAAAATAAATAGAATGTAAATAGAAACTATATTTTGTTTTGACATAAATTATTTCAATTTAAACTGCTGAACTGTGATCACATCTTATTTTCTACAAATAAGTTACTCATTTGAAAATCTACAGCTGCAGAAGTTCATGTATAATTAATCCAAGTAAATTTCTACAAAAGCGATCTTCCGATTTATTGGAAAGCAAAATGTGCTGCATACGCGACGGCAATGTTAATATTCATTTTCTATGGGACCGGATTACACGGAGGAATATTCCTGTGTAAAGAAGAGAGTAGTCCTCCTCCTCACATATTGGAAACCTATTTCTGAGAACCGGTATCACCTGCCGCCTAACTGATTACAGTATTTTACATAATTACGCGGTGGTACCTCTCGCACCTTGTAAGGAGCGTGCGTGTTCCGAGTAACAGCTACTATAGCTACTCAAAAGTAAAATCGTGGATCACGATATTTCGACAAGATATTTCGACAAGATAATAAATGCAAACGAATAATTGATCGCACGTTTCAAATCGATAATGAGAGCGGCGATTGACGTGTAATCTTTTTTTCACGTGCGATACCTACGTGTTTGCCACTTTGTGCGAACGTACAACTCTGTGGCAGTCTCGGTACCGTGCCCTCGATCCATCAGCGATCGAGGATCGAAGGTCGATGTCAGGCGAGCAGCCTCACGATGCAGCTCATGCAACCTCTCTCGCGAATAAATCAACGGAGTGAAGAAAGCGCGAGCGTTCCTCGCGCTCAAATCCACTACGAGATCTCCCAATCCCACGCGACGGTGTGTTACAAATCGCTTTATAATTTCTTTTTGCAGAACTGAGAACGAGAGATCTTAACCGACTTGACTCGAGGCTTAAACTTCGCTTATCATCACGATCCCGGCTTTTCTGCGAAATGTCGCGATTGCAGCGAAATGTTTCTACGTAAAATGTTTCTACATCCTTCAAAAATTGGCGTTTATTACCGCGTTATATGGCATAATGTTGCAATTTACTTCGCTATCTACAGAGTACTTTTGACGACCTCCGACCCGTTGACTGGTCGCGACTGGTCAGCGTTGAATCGGGTCGCTGCACCTTGCAGCACGGCTTGCGATTTGTGCGAGCCGACAGGCATGTTAAATGTTCATGACATTACTGTTACTAATTAGTAATCGCATTAGCGAGATCGAACGGTGACTCCGCGAAACCGCTATTCATACTGCCAATAATATTTTGACCACACATTTCATTCGAGCATAGAACTTCACAGGACTTCTTGATCGTTTCTCGTAAAATCATGCAAGCGCACCGTGTTACGCGACGATGATTTGTTCATCTGATAAACGTGCGATCAATTGTCATCGAATATTCAATTCGATTAAATAATTTTTCATTCAGATTCTAAACCGCCGTAAAATTTTTTGTATCTTAAATATACGATGTAAATAAAAATAAGTGCCATATATATATCCTTAAATCATTTAAAATGCAGACAAAATTAAAAGAAAAAATTAATATATGTATGATATGACAACGCGATTTGTTCCAGATTTGCGCATGGATTTCAAATCGATCATCTGTCGTCGGCTTGGAGGAAGTCTTATGAGCGATCTCGAGGCAATCGAGTTGTCTTCGAATCGTATCGAGAAATCATTATAAATTCAGTCGGCTGGACCATGACGTAATAGCGCAGTAACAGCGGTTATTAGTCGCAATTTCCGTGCGCCGGACGTACCGGGGCGACTTCGCTTAATTAGCCGCTGCTTCGGACACTTTTTCCCTTCCCTCCTCCGAGATTCTCGTCCCGGATGTCTCGTTAGAGCCATTAACTCTTCTCGTAGTTCTAATGAAGACCTATGATCTTTGCTATCTAATGGGGCACGCAGTTCTCACTACTGGGAACGATTTGACAGAACTTGTCACCTGTCGATTTCTCGCGTTTCATTCTAACTCTTTTTTTTTCTCTCTCCCCTTTTCCAACGTCTAACTACGACGTAGCCTTTAACGTTAAAAATGTAATAACGTAATGATTGGCGCATGTGAGATGATGCGGTCGCTTAATTATGCTTCTGAAAAAGTTAATATCCGGTAAGAAATGGAATTAACGATTAGGACAGGAACCTGATGTATTCAAGCAAGAAGATAATTTAATTACGAATAATATGAATTTTGAATGTACGATTATAAATTCGAGCTCAGTTGGCCTGAATTGTATGTAACAATATTATAAATTTAATCTTCATGATCGTTCTTTCTTAATTTCTAAATTATATAAGCTAAATTGCATTATGCATTATTTGAAGAATGTCTTTCCTGTGAACCGAATTTTTACTATTATAATATCTTTGAAGATATCTTCGATTAATATCTTTTAGTCAATTATTGTAAATCTTGGAGCACGTTTTAAATATCTTCTTTCGCTGCGCGATTGCCGTACCAATGGTAAAACCATCCCTTTCGCATTCGCTATATCATCGCCTCGCCCACGCCAACGGCAGGGTTAATCCTAAGCATTAGCGATAATAATACGCGATCTTAGCATGCTTTGCCTTTCTGTCTGTTTCACCTTCGTCTTCTCCCTGTTCGCTTCCACCCGCACGGTCTTTTACTCTCGATTTTTTTCCCTTCCTTTTCCTTTTTTCTTCGCGCACAGGTATCCGAGACTTTCGCGGCCGCGTGCTCGAGGGGAACGTCGAGGGGGTAATTGATAATGTTAAACGCCGGGGTTAATCCGCCGATTTATGAGCAGAGTGTGCGCCGTGGATTTTTTAGAATCCGCCAAATTGAGGGATAATCGTCCGACGTTAATGCCTCGCTGCTAAAGATCGCCGCGCCAAGCCAGAGGGTTTGATTGAGAGAGATAAGTGGGAGTTCGCAGAGGTTTACAGCGCTTCGCGTGTCCGGTGGCGAATAAAAGAGGCCCCCGCTAATCCGCCAAGAAAAAGAGAGGGTGCCTGAATCGACTGAGAGAATCGATCTCGCGTTAGCTATGGCGCGCGGGCATTGAAGATAAAGCGCTTGCCTCGCTTGACCCGGAGCCAAAGGTAGTCACTCGTTGTAGGATCTTGCGTTCGCAACGAGAGTTGCAAGTTTCATCCCGTGACTTTTGAATCACGTCGTATTAATCCGCGACGATAACTCGTACGTTACGCAAACTTGCGCGCATTCGGGAAATTTATTCTCCAACTTTAACACTCCCTTCCGTCGCGTCAATATTTATATTAAATTAAATTTAGCGAATGCACAAAACATAAATATTAATATATTAATTAATTAATTTGAAATATCGATGAGATATAAGTATTAAATAATTAATATATTTACATTTTATTTTTAGAGAGTACATAAAAATGTACTAGGGATAAAAATATTAAAAAATGAATTATAGCTTCAATTAGGAAGTTTCGTTTGGCCGATTCGTCTTCCGTCTTCCGAAGAAGACGAGAAAGGCGATTTCGAGCGTGTCCGCGTGCCACGGACTATTCCGCGCATCGGCGCGCAGCAATATCGATTATCGCATGTCGTATAATTCAACGGGTGAGGCCAACATTAGTCGTGCGGAAATATGCGCGAGTGCTCGCGTGCGCGTGCACAGGATGGAAGGTGGGTGGACATGCCACCCGCGTCGCGGAACTCGTTAGGCTCTATGTGTTTTCAATTAAGTTTCCCGCATGCCCGCGTACGCGCAGCGCGCAGATTAGCGCGGGCGGCCGCGTTCGCGTCGATTAATCGTCGAGTATTATCTCGTGCCCCGTGTGCCGCGGGGGCCACTACGACGCTCAGAAAATTTATCGACGGCGGTTCGCTGTACAAAGTACCGGTTATCCATCAGGTGCGAAGATAACGCGCGCGATAACGCCTAAACGTTTATTCACGCAAGGTGCCGTAAGTTCATCCTTAGAGCGGTTCGACGTCGCGGAACGACGATCCCACGGACGATCACGGCTGAACTTTCACGGCTGATATTCACGTGCGTTTTGTGGAAAAAGAGAAAAAGGGAAACCCGCGTAGGCCGAGACAATCGGAGATATCGCCACCAACGGTGGGCGTAGTCCAAGTCGGCGCGGATTTTATTTAGATTATACGATTATGATAAAAACGGAATAATCGTAAAGAATATCGATATTGATGTAATTTATTGCTTTTATTGTCTTTTATGACCGATAATGGTCAAACTATATATATATATATATATATATATATATATATATTTATCATATGTATGATAAATATATGTTACAGCAAATATTGTGATAAATCCGTCGATATACGTATTATTCAATGAAGAGATTGTGTGGTCTAAAACGGTACGGACACTGTTACAACAATAAAGTGCGGTGAAACATGCTCAGTTTGTGCAACAGAGAAATCCCATTCTAGTAATAATTAAAATTTTATCTTTCGCCATATTCACCACTGCAAACTGCGTCGCGCGACTCGCGTGACGTAAATGCGGTATGTGTAGAATTATCTCTTTGTCAAGCGGCACGTTAACGTGTCTTTATCATAATTAAGCGCGATCTCGTGCACGTTAATTGACAAAGATAATTGCACTGGTGTAGTGAAAGTAAACGCGGAAATGCAGTTATACACGCCGATTTCTTGGTCGAAATCGCGAAATAACGTTCCACGTTTCTTATAAATATCACGTACACACATTATGCAGAATATGCAAACAACAACGTAATCCGTTGTTCGCAATCGCAATAACATTTATAGTGTTTTCGATCGCAATGGGTTTTGTTTCAGGTTTATATCGTCATAGTGCACTTCCTGCAACTAAAGCGAAATGATTGTAGAATACGAGCGAAAGAAGAAAGAAAGAGCAAGTGTAGCAAGTGCACTATGATGACATTAATCCGGATTAAAACCCGGAGT